GGCCTCTGGGAGTTGTAGTCCCTTCCCCATCAAGCCACGTCACCGCTACCAAGAAAACCTTAAGCGCTCCAATGTGCGCTGTGCGATCCGTACCCCAGTCCTCTCTGGTAGGGTCCCTCGTCCCCCCGACTCATTATACGTCCTCCCCTATTTCCTGAAGTGTTTTGGTATGGTCTCCTGACTGCGCGGGAGTCCTGACTCCCAGCCCAGAGCCGAAGTGGCACCGTCTTCAAGTCCACCCTCTCCAACTCTTTGGTACCGTCTGCGGCCTCCGCCACGCCCCCTAAAACTTCCCTCGCGCGCCCTCCCGGCCCCGCCCCGCCGGCCGGAGCGGCCCGACGTGTCCCCCTGCGGCCGGTCCCTCGCTCCCCCTTTTCCCGGGTTCCCCCCGCCCCGCATGGTACGCTCCGGCCACGCCCCTCGCGGACGCGGTTGGTACGCGCCGGGCTCCCCCGCGCGCCGCAGTGGTTTGGCCGCGGCGACCCCTCAGGCAGCGCGTCCCCCGCGCTTGGTACGGCTCAGCCCGTCGCCCCTCGGTCGGTGGCCCGCGGCAGCCCCCAGCCCGCTCCTGCTGCCATGGTCCGTCCGCGCCGCGCTCCGCACCGCTCCGGCGCTGGGGGTCCCCTCGGGGGTCGCGGCCGCCCCCCGCGGCCGCTCGCGGTGCGCGCCGTGCGCTCGCGCTCCTGGCCCGCCAGCCCCCGGGGGCCGCAGCCGCCGCGGATCCGGGCCCGCTCGGCCCCTCCCATGGTGAGCCCCGCGCCTTGCTTCCAGAGCCTTCCACGGCCCCGCCCCCGGGGGCCTCCCCAGGCTCCCACGCCACTGTGCGCAGCCCCCTCCTCTCCGGGGGCGCCGCCGAGGCGCGGGGGGTGGCCCCGCGCGGGGCCGAGGTCCCCCGTGGCCCCGGGTGGTCCGCGTCCGGGCTCTCCCCTTTGTTAGGCGGGTAGGCCGGGGTGGGGGGGCCCGGGGGCGGGGCGGGCTCAGATTACTGCTGACTGCGCGGCCCGCTGGACGCGGGTGGGGGGCGGGCGCCGCGCGCGCTTGTTTTTCCGATTGCAAAGTTGCTTCCTCGCTGGGCAGGGGCAGGGCATTGGACGTGGGGGCCAGGGGCTGCGTTCCGCACGCGCGCGCCCGTGCGGTCCCGGGTGGCGTCCTCCCCCAGGTCCTGCCAGTGGCCGACCCTGGAGTTGACTCCCACGCACGCCCGGGACCTTGGGCGTCGGCGCGCGCCGTGCGGCTCCTGCAGGCGGCATGCACTTTTCAGAACCCCCGGCGAGGCTTTCTCGAGGGCGGTGCGAGCGCGCGTGCCCGTGTTGCTCGCGGCTCGTTCGCGGACGGGACACGCGTGGACGCCCGGGCCCCTAGACGTGTGCTCCCGGGGCTTTGAGCTCCCCTCCAGGTGCTCCGCGGGCCCCCCTGCGTGGCGCACGGGGCGGCGGCACCTGTCCGGGTGGAGATTTACTTTGGGGGGTAGCAGGTGAGCCCTCATCTGGGTGTGCTCTTGCTGCCAGGGCGGGTATGCCTGGGTGCCAGGCAGGCGTCCCTGACGGTTCCCTGCGGGACCCCAGATCCAGCCAGCTCCCAGCTGCCCAGCAGTCCAGCCTGCCTTCCAGGTGACCCTAAACCCTGCTGTGTGGCAGTGCGCGCGCGCAGGGGGGCCCGCTGCTTAGCCCCCCCAGGCACTGCGCGCCCCGAATGTGGCAGGTAGGACAGCCCCAGGTGAGCTGCCTGATGGCCGGGCCGCGCTCCAGGCTCCATCTCAGCTCACCTGCGAGTGCCCCGCCCCCCGGACCCTGCCACAGCAGGTGTGATCGGGGGAAAAGTGTCCCGAGATTATTTATTTTGGCCACTTGAAGCCGCGCGCGGGTCCTCGGACTCGGACTCCCTGCCGCGGGGCAGTTTCTGAGGTCGCTGGGAGAAGGCCGCTGTCTTCGGGCGCTGAGCCCTCCTCCGGTCCAGGGCGCCTGGCAGGGCTGTGGGCCCGGGAGCCTCCCCAGACCGCTGATCTGGCTGTGTCAGGGCCCCAGGCGTGGGGCAGAGGCTGCGGGATGCGCCTCACTGCCTCCCTCCCCGCAGGAGGGCGCTCGGGTGTTCGGGGCCCTGGGTCCCATCGGGCCCTCCTCCCCCGGGCTGTCCCTCGGGGGCCTGGCGGTCAGCGAGCACCGGCTCAGCAACAAGCTGCTGGCCTGGAGCGGCGTCCTGGAGTGGCAGGAGGTGAGGCGCGCGCTGGGCACGACGTGGGCGCGTGGGGGCGGGCCTGGCCGGCCGCGCCGTGACGCCCCTCCCGCCCCGCAGAAGCGCAGACCGTACTCGGACTCCACGGCGAAGCTGAAGCGCGCGCTGCCCTGCCAGGCCTACGTGAACCAGGGCGAGAACCTGTGAGTGCGGGCGCGGGCGCGGGCAGGGGCGCGGCTGGGCGCGGGCCCTGACCCCTCCTCCCCGCAGGGAGACCGACCAGTGGCCGCAGAAGCTGATCATGCAGCTGATCCCGCAGCAGCTGCTGGTGAGCCCCCGCCCGCGCCCGCCCCCCGCCCCGCCCGCGCCCGCGGCCCCGCCTGAGCGCGCCCCTCCCTGTCGCCCGCAGACCACCCTGGGCCCCCTGTTCCGCAACTCGCAGCTGGCTCAGTTCCACTTCACCAACCGGGACTGCGACTCGCTCAAGGGGCTCTGCCGAGTCATGGGCAACGGCTTCGTGAGTGGGGAGTGGGCGGGGCGCGGCAGGTGCTGGCCGAGCCGGCTGCCCGGGGCGCGCCTGCTCCCTGATGTCTGGGCGGCTCCTCCTCGCGGGGCCTGTGGCCAGGGTCGGCTGTACCCAGACAGGCCAGCAGCAGGACCCCCGTCACCCTCCCACTCCCACTCAAGAACCACTAGCGCCCGAGTCAATGAGCGTTTATGTAGCGCTTGCTGTGCTCCAGCTGGGGAAACTGAGGCACAGGAGGGGCGGCTGCTGCACTCAGGCCCTCGTGCCGGCTGCCCGACGGGAGGGAGCCCCGAGCTCGCCCAGCCCTGACGGCGCCCTCCCCCCAGGCCGGCTGCATGCTCTTCCCGCACATCTCCCCGTGCGAGGTGCGCGTGCTCATGCTGCTGTACTCGTCCAAGAAGAAGATCTTCATGGGCCTCATCCCCTACGACCAGAGCGGCTTCGTCAACGCCATCCGGCAGGTCATCACCACCCGCAAGCAGGTGGGCGGGCGCTTCCCGCCGGGACCCCGGGTGGGGGCGGGGCTGCTGCGGGTCTTGGGGTGCGGCCCTGAGCGCCCCTCCCCCACAGGCAGTGGGCCCCGGGGGCGTCCACTCGGGCCCTGTCCAGATCGTCAACAACAAGTTCCTGGCCTGGAGCGGGGTCATGGAGTGGCAGGAGGTGAGGCCTGGGGCGCTGGGGGCGCTGCGCGTGCGGAGCCTGGGGGGCCCCGAGCCTGTGGCCCTCCGCGCTGAGGTCTCCTCTCCCTGCTCCCTCCCCAAAGCCCAGGCCTGAGCCCAACAGTCGCTCCAAGAGGTGGCTGCCGGCGCACGTCTACGTGAACCAGGGGGAGATCCTGTGAGTGTCGGGGGGCCGGGGCGCCCTGGGAGGCGGCGGGACTGACCAGGACTGACCGCGCGCCCGCCCGCCCCGCCCGCAGGAGGACGGAGCAGTGGCCCAGGCGGCTGCACATGCAGCTCATCCCTCAGCAGCTGCTGGTGAGCGGCGGGGCGGCGGGGGGCGTGGCGCGGGCGTGGCCAGGGGCGGGGCCTGAGCCGCGCCTCCCGCCCCCCGCAGACCACGCTCGTGCCGCTCTTCCGGAACTCGCGCCTGGTGCAGCTCCACTTCACCAAGGACCTGGAGACGCTCAAGAGCCTGTGCCGCGTCATGGACAACGGCTTCGTGAGTGCCAGGGGCGGGGCCCGGGGCTTCGTGAGTGCCAGGGGCGGGGCCCGGGGGGCCCGAGGGGCGGGGCCGGCGGTCCCGGCGCCCCTGCTTACTTCCTGCTTCCCACGCCCCTCCGGGCCCTGAGCCCCGGGGCGCTCCCGGGGGCTTTCACCGCTGGCCTGGCCCAGGGGGTGACGGGCCTGTGCCGAGTGCGCGCCTGAGCCCCGGCCGCCCCCAGGCCGGCTGCGTGCACTTCTCCTACAAGGCGTCGTGCGAGGTGCGCGTGCTCATGCTGCTCTACTCCTCGGAGAAGAAGATCTTCATCGGCCTCATCCCGCACGACCAGGGCGGCTTCGTGAGCGGCATCCGGCGCGTCATCGCCAACCAGCAGCAGGTGCTGCAGCGCAACCTGGAGCAGGAGCAGCAGCAGCGCGGGGTGAGCGCGGGGCGGGGGCGGGGGTGAGCGCGGGGCGAGGCAGGGGGTGAGGCCCGGGGCGCGTGGGGAGGGGGGCGTGCGCTGGCACCACTGACCCGCCCGCCCGCGCCTCCCCCGCAGATGGGGGGGTAGTGGCCGCTCCCCCGGGCCGGCCCCTCCAGGAGTCAGCTGAGGCCGCCGTGGAGACTGGTGAGCGGGAGCCGCGCGGTGGTGCCGGCGCCCCGGGCGCGGCGGGGGCAGGGGTGGGGGTGAGGGGAACAGCCCAGCCCCTCCCACGGCACCCCTGCCCCCCCAGGTCAGAGGCCTCTGAGCAGGGGCCCCGGGATGGTGCTGCCCAGCGACGTGGAGGACGGTGTCGCGAGGTCATCGAGGACGGGCCCCGCCCTGTACGGCTCCCCAATAAAGCCTTTCAAAAGCACACGCGCGCCTCCCTGGCTCTGCGGGCCCCGCCCCACGTCGGCCTCCCCCGCCCCCCATCCAGCAGAGGAGGGGGCGGAGGTCTGCAGGCCCCACTGCGCGAATCCCGGACCCAGCCCGCCGCCTTGGGTCACCTGGCCGGGCCGCGCTGGCTCCTGGGCCGGCTCCGTCTCCGTGGGCGTCCTGTGTTCCGTCCGGCCTGGGGCCCCTGCACGGCTGGGCTGGACGCAGGGGGCCCGACCGCCAGGCCCTCCCCGCTGCTCCGGCCTCCCCGCCCCGCCCCCCAGCAAGACGCGGGCCAGGTCGGCGGCAAAGCGCGTTTATTGCGGGCTCAGCCCTCGGAGAACTGGCGGTACAGCCGCTCGAGCCGCGGCTCCAGCCGCAGCCGGAAGGGGATCTGCAGGACGGCGGCGAAGCCCTCGGCGGGCGTCGGGGCCTCGAACTGCTTCCTGGAGGAAGGGGGGGATAGTGAGGGGGCGTCCTGCCCGGCCCCCTCCGCCCCGCGCCCGCGGGACCCCGGCTGCGGTACCTGTAGCCGTACATGACCACGTCCGACACGGGTGCGTGCGAGGAGCCTGTCATCTCGCGGAACTGTGGGGGGGGGGCGCAGGGCGGTCAGGTGGGCGGGGCGGGCTGGCAGTCCCGGCGCCCCTGCCTGCTTCCCACGCCCCGGGCCGAGGCGAGGGGCTCACCCGGTTGTTGTGGCGCGCCTGCTCCAGCGTGGCCGTGAAGAGGAAGCAGCGGCAGGGGACCCCCGCGGCCCGGGCGCACTGGATGTACCTGCGGGCGGGGCGTCAGCGGGCAGCTCCCCCCATCCCTGCACCTGGCCCTGCTCCTCCCGGTCACCCCCAGCCCCCGCCCGCACCTGGTCCCGCCCCCGCCCCCGCCCCCGCCCGCACCTGGTCCCGCCCCCGCCCGCACCTGGCCCTGCTGGCCGCGTCCGGGTTCGTGTTGTCGATCACCGCCCGCCTGCCCTGCTTCAGGGCCGCCTCACACGCGGTCACGCAGCGCTGCCAGGAGCCCAGCGTGTCCTGCGGGGCGGGCACAGCGGGTCGGTAGCTGCCGGGTGGGGACCCGAGGGGCAGGGGCGGGGGCGGGCCGCGCGGCCGGGGCCCTACCCGGTTCACGTGGACGTAGCCGGCCGACACGAGGTGCTCCGTAAGGAAGGTGGACTTCCCGGCTGTGGGGGCGAAGAGCCTCAGCGCAGCCCCAGGACACGGGGGGGGGGGGGCGCTCAGGCGTCCAGAGGTCAAGGGTCAGGGCCTCACCACCAGGGAATCCGACGGCGACCACCACCTCCGGGCTGTCGCTCAGCAGGGGGCTGGACTCCGGGAGCCAGAGGGGGCCTGAGGGTGACGCGGCCCTCTGGGGGGGGAGGGAAGTGAGCCCGTGCCCCCCACACTACCCACAGCCCCTCCACACGCCCCCACTCCTCCCCCGGCCTCACCGGGTCGAAGGCTGGGAGCTCGAAGCTGGCCGCCGGCCACTTGAGAAAGAACTCCTCCGGCGTGGAGAAGCGCAGGCCGAGGTTGAGGGCGAACTGGGAGGAAGCGGGGGTCAGGCTCGGGCTCTGGCGGGGGTCAGGGGTCGGGCGGAGTGGGGGGCAGGGCCGGAGCCTCACCAGGCGGTCGGCACAGGAGAAGTCTTTCTTCTTCCGTCCAGGGGCCCAGTTGGCTGGGCGTCCTGCTGCGTCTGCAACCCAAGGACACCCCCTGTCCACCGGCAAGCTCGAGCCGGGCCCCCAGCCCCCACAGCGGCCCCTGGCCCCTACCTCCTACAAACACGCTGTCCCCGATGGAGATGGGCATGCGCTCATTGGCCTGGGAGATACACGAGCAGTGAGAACCCTGTCCCACAGCGCTGTCCCCTCCAGCACCAAGGGGCTCCCCGGGCTGTCTGCTCGGTCGGCTTGAGGCCCGACCCCCTGACTTCCGTCTGCAGCCCCTGCGCCTCTCACCCCAGCGGCTGGCCCAGCCGGATCCCGTCCCCCAGACGGCCGCTGGAGGGCGCCCGCTCCCACTCAGCCGACGGCCGCTCGGCCCTGTTCCCCACGTGGCCGCCAGGGGGCGCCCGTCCCCACGCAGGTCCCCTCCTGCCTCACGGGGACACCGGGCTCCCTGACCACTCCCAGACCGTGTCTAGGAGGCCGCCGCGACGCATGGCCGATGCCCGAGCTCCACCCTGCCTATTTCACACCCTCGCCAGCAGTACTGGAGCAGGCCGGGGCGCTAGCGCGTCCCGCCCAGGATGCCAGCGACCTGAGCTACGGCTGAGCGTGGGGACGATGCAGACAGGCCCTCCGCATAGCGGGCTCGGGCCTCCAGCGCCTAGGATGTGGCAGCTGGGGAGAGAAGGCGCGGCCCGGGCGGCGAGCAGGCCTCCAGCGCGCGGGGAGCCAGGGCGGGGCTGCTCACCTGCTCCTGCAGGTAGTCCCACATACCGCTCACCGGCTTCCGGTACAAGCCCGCGTGCGTGGCCACCAGCACCTGGGGTGGGGTCGGCATGGGACGTCACGCCGCTGCTCCCCGCGCCCCTGGAAGCCGCCCTCCGCCTCGCCAGCCAGGCGCCCCGGCCGTACCTGGAAGGGGGCCCCCAGCTTCTCCAGCACGGCCTCCACCTTGGCCTTGAACTCCTCTGCCCGCAGCTTCCCGCGCCCGATGCCCATCTGGTTGGTGAAGATCACCAGCTGGGGAGCAGGGGGCCGTCAGCGGGCGCGCGGCTCCGGCCCTGCCCGGCCCATCAGCCCAGGCACACGCACCTTGTAGCCATCCGCAATCGAGCTCCCGTAGCCTCCGCGGAATCTCCGGGTACAGGAGCCTAGGGCAGGCGGGAAGCCCTGCTGACCCGGGGCCGGAGGTGGCTCTGGGCCCCCTCGCTCCCTCCCCCGTGCTCACCTCCAGTCACTGGGGCCAGTGGGAAAGACCTTCCCGGAGCGGGTGGTGATGAGGGTCCCGTCCAGATCAAAGCCAGCCACCTGGGGACGCCAGGGGGACAGCAGCAGCCCGGTGACCCCACCGCCCGTCCGAGCGCACTGGGAGAACCCCAAATCCTTCCTGTCTCTCGTGGCTGCCCCCGGTACCCCGACCTCTAAGACGGGGATTAAGGTACCCGAGCTCTGCCTGGTCTGCACTTAGACACAAGCGGGAGCTAAGCTTCGGGGGGTGACTGCAGGGTGGGCACGCGCCGCGCTGACCCGGGGTCCAGCTCCGAGCGCTGGAGGCCGAGCAAAGCCGGGCCTGGGCCTCACCTTGGCGCGGGGCTGCACGCCGGGCGCGGTGAACACCAGCAGCTTGTCCAGGTGCGCCCAGCCTGGGGCCGACCTCCGCCTCCGCTTCTCCGGCGGCTCCTCCTCTGGGGGCTCTGGAGGGGTGCCGGGTGCAGTAGCTGGCCGGGATCCTGGTGAGTCCGGTCTCCTCCCAGCGCAGGGTCAGCGGGTGCAGGCCATTGACCAAATACAGCGTATCCCCAACCCCCAGCGAGCCCTCCAAGCCCTGCTTCAGTTCCTGAGTGCCAGCAGTTGAGGGGTTAATTCCCAGCTGCAGAGAAAGGGGAAGGAACTGGGGCTGGCCCCGCCCCCCAGCACCAACCTCCAATAAACACCCGGGGACGGGACTTACAAGCCCCACCTCCTCACTGCACCCACCAATCAGGGCTTTGAGAGGTTACAGGACGGCTGCCCTACCGCAGCAGGGGAGGCTGCACTGGCCACACCCCTTCCCCCCTCAGCCACTCTCCAGGGGCTGGCCACGCTCTTCCTCAGCCAATCAGATCCCTAGGGGCGTGTCCCCGAAGGCGGTGCTCTCTGGCTAGACCCGACCCCCAGGCCGCGCTCGCACCTGTTTCACCGCCACGGTCCGGGTCTCCAGGTCCGCGACCAGCTCCACTGCGGGTGGGGGAGTGAGGTCAGGGTGCGGCCCCCGTGTGACTGGTTTCCCGGTACTGGGGCGCGGGGACCGGGAGGCGGTTTACTTCAAGACAGGACCGCCGACCACACGGGCGCTTTCTCTCTGGAATCGGGGCGCTTCTCTCCGCGGGGTCTGGCTGGCCCCAGTTCAGGCTCAGCCACCCACTCCTCTGCTTCCCAGAGGGCACCCGCCCCCCTCGGCCTCGCCGGGCCCAGCGCCTGCTAGGAAGCGGTTCCTGCTTCCGGCGCAGGCCACACCCCCGGCCCGGGCCCCGCCCACCTTGGGTTCTCGAGCACTTCCGGTCCGTAACCTGCGTCAGTGGCCCCCGGCCTAGGACCAGGGGCTGCCCGTCCGAGGGCAGGAAGATGGGGGCCGCCCCTCCCGGGGGGCTTTGCAGCCACAGGCGGCCCCGGGGCTGCTCCGTCTCCGCCATCGCGCGTGCAGACTAAAGGGAGGGAACGGGTCTGAGCGGCAGGCGCCCCAGTTCCACAGGAAGTCCCGCCTCTTCCCAGCCCGTCCGCCAGGAAGTCCCACCCCCTCGCGGCCTCGGGCTCGTGCCGTTTCCCTGGCGACGACGCCGGCTCCGGCTCCCAGCCGGCCCGAGTCCCCGATTCCTCGGGGCTGGGCTCAGAGCTTCGCGCGCCGCCGCTTCGCCCGCACACGCTCACCCGCGCCGGCTGCCCGGACTCCGGCGTCGCTTCAAGCCAAGGCGGGCCCGCCCGAGGCGCCCTGCCCTCACCGCCGCCGCCTCTCGGGTCCCGGCGGACGGAAGTGACTGGGCGCGCCGAGGGGGCGGAGCTCCGGCCCCGCTGCCCCGCCCCCCGCTCGCTCTCGCTGCAGTGTCAGGTTCGGCCCCTAGGGGGCGTCGGTGACCCGTGCGAACTCCTCTCGAATTCCCAGGCGCCTGTGGTGGAGTCAGTCCGAGGGGCCACCCCTACCTAGGTCGGTCTATTGCTTCACACCCGACGCCGCAGGGGGATTGCTACGCGAATATCAAGAGTTCACACGGAAATATACAAGCGGCAGAAAATCCTATTGCTGGCGTTCCTCTGGTCGCGACCTGATGGGAAACCGAGATTCCCCGGCCACCGGCCCGACTCTGCTCCACGGGGCCGGAGCCCTCCCCTGCCCACGAGTGCCCCACCCGGCCATAACGTGGGGGCAGTGCCACCGGCCCGACTGCCCGACTCTGGTCCACGGGGCCGGAGCCCTCCCCTGCCCACGAGTGCCCCACCCGGCCATAACGTGGGGACAGTGCCACCGGCCCGACTGCCCGACTCTGGTCCACGGGGCCGGAGCCCTCCCCTGCCCACGAGTGCCCCGTTCCTGGCCCGTGGAGCTGGGAGTGATTCCAACTCCCAGCCTCGCTCTGCGCGTCCGGCCCAGGCGCGTCTAAGCTGAATGCACAGCACACTTCACGCTCACGTCAGAAGTAAAACTTTTAATCTCAGAGCGCCCTTCCCATTCCCGGCTCCCACCCCCCTCTCCCCCCGCAGCAGGGCCGGAGAGTGAGGCCCCCTCTCCCCACGTGGGTGGACGAGGGCCCATTAAGGCACCTGTGGGCGGGAGGGGCGGGGGCTGGTGCGCCTGGCAGGCTGTTGGAGGGGCCGGGGACAGGGCCGAGCAGCCGTGTCAGGACGTGGGCGAGGCGGGCTAAACCAGCCCGAGCCTCAGTAGTGTGAACGCGGGATGGCTGCAGACCGAGTCTGGACACCAGGGCTGGGCCGCGCCCCGGGGCCGGAGCCGCTCCGCGGGGAGAGCCCTTTGCTTCCGCCCGAACCCGGCCGCCCCGGCCGGGAGCTAGCCACGCCCCCGCCGGGGTCAACCAATCGCAGCAGGAGCCGTCGCTGGGCAGGACCGACCGACCCAATCGGGAGACGCCGGCGGGCGGGGCGGGGCGAGGGGCGGGGCTGGCAGGGACGCGCAGCCCCGGCCGCGGACACGTGGGGGGCGGGCCCCAGGCCGCGCCGGCATTGGCGAGCTCCGGGGGCGGGCCAGGGGCGTCGTGCGGGGCGGGGCGGACGCGGGACCCGGCGGCCCCTCCCGGGCCTCAGTATTTCCGCTTCAGCTTCTGGAAGTCGCTGGTGTTGAGCCGCGGCCGCGGCAGGTCCCCGAACACCTGGGTGTCGTCGGCCTCCCGCAGCACGAGCGCGCGCATGCTCGCCGCGATGCGGTCCAGGTCCGGCGAGGAGGGCTGCGGACAGGGCGACGGGTGAGGGTGCTCACCGCCTGCTCCGTCCCTGGCCCTGCCCCCACGTCCCGCAGCCCTCACTCCGGCACAGGGCCTCAGATCTGAAGATCTGGGCAGGCTGCGGTGAGCCGGTGAGCCAGTGAGCCCCCCGCTCTGACAATGGGGCTGATGTGAGGTCGCGGACAGGCCATCAGCTGTCACTCCACGCTCCCATGCAGGCCTGGTGCCCCCGCAGCTCCTGGCCCCAGATGGGACCCACGTCACAGCTGGTGGACCCTGCCTGGGCCCCTACAGCCTGGGGCAGGCGGGGTCCCCGCTGTGACCTGGGCCTGCAGCTCCGGGTGGGGCCGACCTCAGGGGGCCGGGCCCTCAGTGCCCCACTCGCCCTCTGCCTGGGGTGCCCAGCCCAGATCCTGCACCCGGGGGCGCCCTGCCCGCCACCCCGCCCAGAGCGGGCCCGTCTGCAGGGAGCAGCAGCCGAGGGGAGGCCTCCATCCGCGGCCGCCCCTTCCCTGGCCCAGTGCCCCTCACCGGCCCGTTCTCCTCGTCCGACGACCGCGCCTCCGTCCTCTTCTCCTTGAAGGCCCAGACGGGCACGGACACGGGCAGGGACTTGGCGTACTGCTGGGTGGGCAGGGCTGAGGCCGGGGGCACTGAGTGGGCTGGGGGGCCGGCGGGGGTCTCCTCGCTGAGGCTGCCGTCTGGAGGAAAGGCGCCCGTCAGCTTCCGTCCCCGCCCTCCCGCCCCGCCGGGGAGGGGCCGCGGCACTCACCGTCCGTGCTCTCGGGGTCCGACTCACAGAAGGGGGGCAGGTCCTGGAGGGTGGCGTCCTCGTCCATCACAAACAGCCCTGAGAGGGGGCAGGCCCCGGGCTGTGAGGGCCCCGCCATCACCGTGCCCACAGCACCCACCCCAGGTCACCCCGGGCCGTGAGGGCCCCGCCATCACCGTGCCCACAGCACCCACCCCAGGTCACCCCGGGGCTGAGGGCCCCGCCATCACCGTGCCCACAGCACCCACCCCGGGTCACCCCGGGGCTGAGGGCCCCGCCATCACTGTGCCCACAGCACCCACCCCGGGTCACCCCAGGCCGTGAGGGCCCCGCCATCACTGTGCCCACAGCACCCACCCCAGGTCACCCCGGGGCTGAGGGCCCCGCCATCACTGTGCCCACAGCACCCACCCCAGGTCACCCCGGGGCTGAGGGCCCCGCCATCACTGTGCCCACAGCACCCACCCCAGGTCACCCCGGGCCGTGAGGGCCCCGCCATCACTGTGCCCACAGCACCCACCCCGGGTCACCCCGGGGCTGAGGGCCCCGCCATCACTGTGCCCACAGCACCCACCCCAGGTCACCCGCCGGGTCCCCGGCACACGCGGGGCGCCAGCATCTGGCTGCAGTCCCGCGACACCGCTCAGCCCCACGCGGGCTCAGAGAAACCGGACGCGGCGTGACCTCCGTCTGATGGAGATGGAGTCACTCGCCCGGGGTCCCACGGCTTACTCGTGACAAGGCCAGGCTCAGAGCCAGGCTGCTGGGGGGGGCTTCCGGGGCGAGGCGAGAAGGCCGCTCTCCAGGGGCACCAGCCACCCCCCCCCCCCCCCCCCGGCCTCAGCTCAGGCCTCCGATTCCGTGGCTGAACCACTAGCCCCTCACCTCCAAGGAAGACGCCCCGGCAGGAGCTGGCATGAGGCTCAGGGCGGGTCACACGGGGCCACAGCAAGCGGCCGCGGCTCCCGGGGACACGAGGGCCCGGGACCAGCCCCCCGCCTCCCCTCACCTCCATTATCGCTGACGCCGAGCCGCTCCCCAGAGGTCTCGGTCTCTGTGGGCTCGTCCTCGTCCTCCTCGTCGTCCTCCCTGGGCAGGGCAGGCCGGGGCGGGCTGGGTGCGGGACTGGGAGGCTGCGGCACTGGTGGGGGCGCTGGGGGCCGGGCGGCGGCGGCGGCCCTGTGGGCCAGGGCGATATCGTGCAGGCAGCGGCGGGCGGCCTCGGCCAGCGCCCCCCGGCCGTGGGCTGCATAGGCGCAGGGGCCCGGCCGGGGCGGCGGCGGCGGCGCCGCGGTCAGCAGCACCAGCTCCGTGCCTGTGCGGGCCCGGAAGCGCTCGGCGGCCCCCACCACAGCCTCCCACAGCTCCTCCGGGCGCCCCAACGCCATCCGCGCCCTGTGGGCCAGAGCAGGACACGGGGGAGCTGAGGCCTGGCTGCCGCAGCTCCCGTCCACCCTGGGAGCCCACCCAGGTCCCTCCCGCCAGCATCTGATGCCCAGCCGAGTGCCAGCTCTGCCTCCGCCGGGCCTGACTGTCTCCTGTGGGGTCCAGTGGGCGGGGCGGGGCAGGGGCGTTTGCAGTAAGCAGACGGGGACGCCCGGCCGCGGCTGCCACGGAGCCCACGTTCCTTGTGGCACAGCCGTCCCCCCCCACCGTGACCCCAGCCCCAGGAGGGTCCTCCTGCACCCAGGACAAGGGCCCGCCGCCCCCACGGGCAACACTGGGCTCTCCCCCCCAGCTCCCCACAGCTCTTGGCCAAGCTTCCCATCGTCCTGTCGTGGACGCAACTTTCCCTCTTCCTAAACTCCTGCTTCGGGCCCCCACATCTGAGCAACACCGTCTCCTCGCGGGGCCTGTGGTCGGCGTGACTGGGGGGCCGCTGTCTGCCCGAGGACCACCCACCGCTTCTCGCTTCCTGCAAGGCTGGAGCGGCCCCCAGAGGCCCTCCGCGATCCCCACGCCACCCAGGCCCTAGGCTCCCTGCACCGTGGGCCCTACACCAGAGCCCTGCGTCCCCGGGCAAGCAGCCTGCAGGTGCAGCTCAGGGGGCAGGGCCTGGCCCTGTCTCTGTGTCGTCAGGGACTGGGGGCTCAGGCCCAGCTGCGGTCCGGTCCGCGTGCCCCTCGCAGCTCGGCATCCCAGAGGCCAGCGGGCCTGGCCCTGCCCTGTGCCCAGACCCTTCAGCTGGGCGCTCACCGACAGCCAGCGGCCCGGGCCTGCCCAGCACCGGGGTCACAGCACCCATCGGTGAGCCGCTCATCCGGTGGGAAGTGAGGCACCGGCCCTTAGCCCCAGGGTGGGACCGGGCGGCGTGGGCAGGGGGCAGGGAGGGGCTCGCTGACCGACGGCGCGCGGCTCCCAACACCAGGGAACAGGACCTAACCGGGGGGAGCAGGCGACCGAGGCCAGCAGCCAGGCCCGGGGTGCGGGCGGGGGCTCGCTCCCCAGGGAGGAGGGCGGCTGGCCAAGCCCCCCCAGCCTGTCAGACTGGAAGCGGCCCTAACAAGGGGCACGGGGCACCCCTGCGCGGGCGGACCTTGGGGCCGCCGCCCCGCGACCTCCCCGCAGCCCCCGGGGATCCAGGCCTGACCCGCTTTCCCAGCAAAACAGGAAATCCCGCCCAGGTGAGGGCCAGGGCCGGAAGTCCCGCCTTTGGGCGGGTGAGGGGCGCCCGGAGCCCCTCCAACAACCCCCTCGGGCCCGTGGACGGGGTCCGCGGCCCAGGTGAGGACCCCTGTGGGTCCGAACACCGGAAAATGAGGGTGTCTAGGCTCTGCCTAGAGTCAGACACGACGGTTCTCGCGGGCGACCCCCCTCCAGCGCTCAGCCACGTGCCGCTGGGCTAGCTCTGCCCTCTGACCTATGCAGGCCATACCACTCCCGTGAGCCGGGCGCCTTCCCGGAGCCCCTCTGCCTCAGGATGGCCAAATCCTCCCAACACCGCGGTTCACAACGCCGCCTCCACTCACGTGCCCGTAGCCAGCATGGCCGGCCCGGCGCCGTCGCCGCCCTCAAAAGGCATGGCGGCGAGCTGATGTCACTTCCGGGTGACTCCCCCCTTCCTTATCTGGCTCGCCCGAGACCAAGATGGCCGCCACGGGGTTCGATCCAGGTCCGTGGGAGCGTTGGCCACAGTGGCGAGCCCACAACAAAGATGGTGGAAATGGCTTACCAGCTTAAGCCGCTTCGAGGTGCCCTCAGAAAATATGGCCGCCCACACATGCTTACACGTGACCACGAGAAACTAGGGAGGGCGACCTAACGTTCCTCACCCTTTCTTCCACAAAGTGGAAGTGGTGCCCGTTAACGACATGGCAACCAGCCTGGCTTCACCTGCCCGTCGTGTATATGGGCTCTCTCTCCCTCTAACCTATACCCCCTCCGAAGCCAAGGCTGGCAAAGACCCAAGATGGCAGAATTTCTAGCTTCGGTTTGCCCAGCTTCAACATGGCGACTCGGCCCGCTTCGAGGGTGACTCAGGAATTCGCCTGGGACAGCTTCGGTCCTGGGGACGCCGACGGCTTGGTCCCGTCGTACCGAGTCCGTCGGCTCTCGGGCGACGCACAGCTCCTCTCACCTTCTTTGCCTTTATCCGTTCCTCTTCTCGAGCACCTCGCTACCTCGCCCCGCAGAGAGATGGAACTGCCCCGCATTAACATGGCCTCAGGCTAGCGGGTACGGCCGTGCCCTCGAGCAACATGGCACCCCTTGGCTTCGCTGCCAGTACACAGTACGAAGCAGGAAGGGGGCGGTTTCAGGGAGACACGGGGAGGAGCTCCGGATCCTCCCACTTGTTTACTTCGTGGTGAGCACCGTGACACTGAGCCTGCGCACTCTCGCTGGCCAGCTCCTCTGCTAGCGTCCGCGCCATGTGACTCGCATCCTTAGAATTCCACTCCCCCATGTCTAAAAGATGGTTTCACCCACTCCTGCTCTAGAATGCATAAGGGCGCAACCACCGTGCGGCCGTGCGGGGGAGTCTCCCTTCCGGATATGACACTACGTTGACCCGGAAAAGGAGGAGGCTGGGGCAGCAGGATCTCGACCGAGGCTATGGAGGGAGCCGGCTACAGGGTAAGCACTGGGGGCGCATTCACTCGCTTCTGCCTATGCGAAACGACCCTGTCCGGTGATCTGCCTCTCCCCAGGCCGTGCCAGGGAGGCCCGGAACTCCACAGAGCCGTGGGAACCGGGTGTGGGAAGACCCTACCCCCTAGCCCCGCCCCCGGACTCTGGGGACCTTGCGAGCTCCGCCCCTTTCGGAGCGCGCGGCCGCCCTGTGGGCGGGGCCTCCACGCGCTGACTTCCCTGGTCCGCCCCCATCGGCTCCCTTCGGGGCCCCGCCCCCGCCAGACTCGCCCCCATTGGCTCCCCCCGGACCCGCGCCCATTGGCTCCCGCCGGACCCGCCCCCACGGCTCCCTTCGGGGCCCCGCCCCCTCCAGACCCGCCCCCATTGGCTCCCGCCGGACCCGCCCCCATCGGCTCCCTTCGGGGCCCCGCCCCCGCCAGACCCCCCCATCGGCTCCCTTCGGGGCCCCGCCCCCGCCAGACCCGCCCCCATTGGCTCCCGCCAGGCCCGCCCCCATTGGCTCCCGCCGGACCCGCGCCCATCGGCTCCCTTCGGGGCCCCGCCCCCGCCAGACCCGCCCCCATCGGCTCCCTTCGGGGCCCCGCCCCCGCCAGACCCGCCCCCATCGGCTCCCTTCGGGTCCCGCCCCCAGGTGGTGTTCGAGAAAGGCGGCGTGTACCTGCACACCAGCGCCAAGAAGCACCAGGACCCGGACTCGCTCATCGCGGGCGTCATCCGTGTGGTGGAGAAGGTGGGCCGGGCGGGGTGGACGCGGCGTGCAGGGGGCCCGGCCTTGAGGGCGGCCGTGGCTCCCACTCGGAGGGCTGAGCCCCGGGACCTGTCCCGCTCCCCCCCAGGACGGCGATGTGCTGCTGCACTGGGCCCCCGTGGAGGAGGCCGGAGACTGCACGCAGATCCTGTTCTCCAAGAAGGTCGGTGTGCTGCGCCCTGCGTGCCCTGGCACCGCGCGCTTCCCCGGGGTCCAGTCCCAGGCCTGCCCCTGGGACCCGGGGGTGCCTGGCCGGGGCCCGGGTCCTCTCGGCCTCTGGGTGAGGTGGGCCGAGGACGCCCGTTGGAGGAAGGAGAGCGGAGGCCCGCCCAGGTGCAGAGGCCACTGCCGCCGCTCGCCCCCTCCCTGCGCCCCTGTCCGGCCCCGGGCGCGAGGCTGCTCCTTAGCAGGAGGTCGGTGGGCTGTGAAGACCCGGCTTCATAGTAAGCCCATTGGCCTCAGTGATGGCCGTCACCGCACCCAGGGGCCTCCCCCGGGGCCTGGCGGCTGCCTGAGGCTGGGCCACGTCTCTGTCGGGCTGTCTGTGAACGCCTTCTGGCGTGGACACGTTCCCCTTGTCCTGGGCACTCCCCGCGGAGCGGCGTTGCCGGGCCTGGGGAGGAAGTGCCGCACCGTGTCCCCAGCCCGGCCCTGTTGCACGTGGCCACCTGCAGCGTGCGGGGCTCCGGCGTCCCTGTGCGCCCGCCGCCGCTGGTCCTCAGGTCTCTGGCGCTAGCTGTCCTCGTGGGCACGGGGTGTCTCCTGCCATGGCTGCCCAGCTGCCGCCTGGGCACCAGGAGCCTCGGGTTCCAGTCCTGGCTGTGCCGGGTAACCCTGGGCAAGTGCCGTGCCACCTCTGTGCCTCAGTTTCCCTACGAGGCTGCGCTCATACCTAGAAGCCATGAGTCCGTGGCCCCTCACTCTCTTCCTCTGCCCCAAGGACTCCAGTGGGGGCGACTCCTGCGCCTCTGAGGAGGAGCCGACCTTTGACCCCGGCTATGAACCTGACTGGGCCGTCATCAGCACCGTGCGGCCGCGGGCCCGGCCATCGGGGCCCCCGAGAGGTGGGCCGAGCTGGAGGCCGCGGGGACCGGGGTGGGGGACCCGTGTTCTCAGGAGTCTCTGCCCCCAGTCCCAGGAGAGAAGAGGTGGCTGGGGGCAGGGCTTGTGGCTGTGCCCAACCCCCGGGCTTCTGGGTTGGCCGTGGGCGCATCACCTGCCGAAGTCCAAGGCAGAGGGAGGCCGGGGAGCCCAGAACCGGCACTCAGCCACCGGGCTCCACTCCCCAGGCAGCGGGCTGTGGCCGGGGCCCGGGGCCAGCTTCCCGTGCGCCCAACGCCGTGCCGTCCCCCAGGTGCAGAGCCCGCCTCCTCCCAGGGCCCCTGGGCCTTCTCGGTGAGCCTGGGCGAGCTCAAGTCCATTCGGCGGTCCAAGCCGGGCCTCAGCTGGGCCTACCTGGTCCTGGTGACCCAGGCCGGAGGCTCCCTGCCCGCCCTGCACTTCCACCGCGGGGGCACCCGGGCCCTGCTGCGCGTGCTCAGCCGCTACCTGCTGCTGGCCAGGTGAGCCGACCCCGGGGCGTCCCCTCGGGGCTGGGGAGCTGGTTCAAGGCTGGGGAACGCAGGTGGCCCTGCGGCCCCAGGAGGTAGAAGGCGTCTCCCCTGCCGCGGCACCACCACAGGCCCGCCTCTCACCGGCTCAGCTCTGGGTCACTCCCCCTTGGCCAGGGAGATGGGCACTCTCGTGGGTCAGCCCTGGGCCACACACCCACCCCTGCTGCCAGCTCCGCCCTCTGCCTGCAGTGTCACCCCAGGGGCGGCTGGGGTGCTGCGGATGGCCCCAGCCTGCGCTCCCTGTCCCCCTGTGTCCCCGCCCGCCCCCAGCTCCTCGCAGGACCCCCGCCTCAGCCCCAGCCCCCCCCAGCTCCCCCCAGGACCCCCGCCTCAGCCCCCTGTCACCCCCCAGCTCCCCGCAGGACCCCCGCCTTGGCCCCGGCCCCCTGTCACCCGTGTCCCCGCCTCGGCCCCGGCCCCGTCACCCGTGTCCCCGCCTCGGCCCCGGCCCCCTGTCACCCGTGTCCCCGCCCGCCCCCAGCTCCCCGCAGGACTCCCGCCTCTACCTCGTCTTCCCCCATGACTCCTCCGCCCTCTCCAACTCCTTCCACCACCTGCAGCTCTTCGACCAGGACAGCTCCAACGTGGTGTCCGTGAGTGTCCCCCGCGCTGGGCTTGGCGGGGTGTGGGCGGGAGGGCGGGCCTGGGGCTCCGCGGTGGCACCGGTGACAGCATCCGGCCCTGTCCCCAGCGCTTCCTCCAGGACCCCTACTCCACCACCTTCAGCAGCTTCTCCCGAGTGACCAACTTCTTCCGGGGAGCCCTGCAGCCACACCCCGAGGGGGCCTCCTCCTCAGACCTGCCTGCGCCCCCCGACGACGAGCCAGAGCCCGGGTTCGAGGTCATCTCCTGTGTGAGTCACCCGGACCCTGCCCTGGGCAGTAGCGGCCCTGGCCGCCTCAGGGTGCATCGGGGTGAGTGCCAGGCTCTGGGCGCACCTGCCGGCTGGTACTGGCGTGGCCCTTCCTGCAGGGGGCGCCTTTGTGCCCCCCCAGGGTAGGAGCTGCCTTCCCGCCCCTGAACAGAGAAGGGCTCTGAGCTCTCTGGAGGACCAGATGGGGTTGGGGGCCAGCCCGGGCTTACTTGCCCTGCGTCCCACAGGTGGAACTGGGGCCACGGCCCGCCGTGGAGCGGGCTGCCCCCGTCACTGAGGAGGAGTGGGCCCGCCACGTGGGCCCTGAGGGCCGCCTGCTGCGGGTCCCCGAGCTGAAGAGCCGGATTTTCTCCGGGGTGAGTGCGGGGCAGGGGCCCGGGGCAGGGCTGGCGGGCAGCCGGGAGGCGGTGCCCTGAACCACCTGCCTCCCCGCTGCAGGGTCTGAGCCCCGGGCTGCGGCGCGACGCCTGGAAGTTCCTGCTGGGCTACCTCAGCTGGGAGGGCTCCGCCGAGGAGCACAAGGCCCACGTGCGCAAGAAAACGTGAGTGGGAAGCTGGCCCGCCCTCCCCGGAACGCCGGCCCGGCACAGGCGGTGTTCCACGGACGCCGGCTCCGACCGGCCCAGGGCACACCGCGGTGAGCGAGCCAGCCCCGCACCGGCTCCGTGCCCGCCTCGCTGCGATGCACGGCAGGCTGAGCCTTGTCGGGGAGGCCGGGCGGGGGGGCCCCCAGGTCTGCACCGGGCGTCCCAGCGCCTGGCCTCTCGCCCCACAGGGACTGCGACGCACGGCAGGCTGAGCCTTGTCGGGGAGGCCGGGCGGGGGGGGCCCCCAGGTCTGCACCGGGCGTCCCAGCGCCTGGCCTCTCGCCCCGCAGGGACGAGTACTTCCGCATGAAGCTGCAGTGGAAGTCGGTGAGCCCGGAGCAGGAGCGCAGGAACTCCCTCCTGCACGGGTACCGCAGCCTCATCGGTGTGTCTGGGGCGCAGAGGGCGCGGCGTGGGTGCAGGCGATGCCCTCCAGGTTTTCCGGGGAGGGAGGTGCGGACGAGCAGACGCCCTGGGGTCCGGGCTCGGTGGGGACTTCCCTCCCTGGCCCTGGGGGAGATGCGGTGGCTCCTGGAGCCAGCCCCGCTCCTCCACCCAGAGGGTGCTCCGAGCAGGGGCTCCGGCGTTCGCGGTCCGGGGGTGGGGGCTCCGGGCACCTGACCCTCCCACCTTCACACCCCGTCCCCCCAGAGAGAGACGTGAGCCGCACCGACAGGACCAACAAGTTCTACGAGGGCCCCGAGAACCCGGGGCTGGGCCTGCTCAGCGACATCCTGCTCACCTACTGCATGTACCACTTCGACCTGGGTACGCCGCCGCGGGGGGCTGCCCTCGGGGACATGCGGGCCCGGGCTGGCCCCTAACCCTGAGTGCCCCCCAGGCTACGTCCAGGGCATGAGTGACCTCCTCTCCCCGATCCTCTATGTGGTTCAGAACGAGGTGGACGCCTTCTGGTGTTTCTGCGGCTTCATGGAACTCGTGGTAAGCCGGGGGTGAGGCTGGGAGACCCCGCCCCACCACGGGGTGGGGGTCCCGCCCCTCACGGCCCTCCCGCCCGCCCACAGCAGGGGAACTTTGAAGAGAGTCAGGAGACCATGAAGCGGCAGCTGGGACAGCTCCTGCTGCTCCTGAGGGTGCTGGACCCGGCGCTCTGCGACTTCCTGGGTGGGTCTCTGCTCCGGACGCCGCCGGCCCTTTGCAGACAGGAGCGCCTGGGTGTGGCTCCAGCCCTCGCCGGTTCCCGCAGCCTGGGGCCACTGCCTTCTGTCCGCATTGCTGGTTCAGTGGGAAACTCGGATCCAGCCGAGTGGCTGTCGATAGCGGGCATATCCGAGGGCAGGTGGCGATGAGGTGAGGCCGCCACCTGGCAGGAGCCGGAGGACGGCGCGGGGCAGGGGGCAGGGGAGACGCCCCTGGCCACCTCGCGGAGCGGGGGCTCCGTCTGAGGACTGAAAGTCTCCCGGCCCGGGCTTCCGTGGGCGGCGTGCCGTGCTGTCCGTCCCCCAGGAGGAGGTACCGGGATGGCCTGGGTGGTGTCTTGGGGTTGAAGTGTGAGAGCGGACTCGATGCGGGGCGGCTGTCCACCCACGTGCGTCCTGCTCACTGCTGCTGTCTGGCCTGGCCGGCACAGCCCCAAGTCCCGGAGGGCCTGCGTTCTCAAGCCCCCCGGTGGCAGGCGCTGGGCAAGCGGGTCTGGGAGCTGTGGGAGTGGCCACTTCCTGTAGACTGTGGAATGCAGGGTGGGCGCCCTAACCCCAGAGGGTATGCAGCCAGATACTGCAGGGTCTCGGCCCAGCGGCGGTCAGGAGGGGGCTCGGCGTGGCTCCTGGTGGCGGCAGGTGCTCCGGCTGTGGGCGAGGCTGACTTGGCGCCCTGTCCTCCCCCAGACTCCCAAGACTCGGGCTCTCTCTGCTTCTGCTTCCGGTGGCTGCTCATCTGGTTCAAGAGAGAGTTCCCCTTCCCGGATGTCCTCCGCCTGTGGGAGGTGGGCCAGCGGCGCGGTGGGGGCTGGGGGAGGGGCAGAGCTGGGGAGGGCAGGCCCCAGCGCCTCCTCCCTCGCCTCCTCCCTCGCCTCCCCAGGTGCTGTGGACAGGGCTCCCCGGTCCCAATCTGCACCTGCTGGTGGCCTGTGCCATCCTGGACATGGAGCGGGACACCCTCATGCTGTCCGGGTTCGGCTCCAATGAAATCCTCAAGGTGAGGCCTCTCCCTCCTGGTCCCACGCCGGCCTAGGGCACTGGGCCCCGTGTAGACACGGCATGGGGACGCCCAAGGTGGCCCCTGGAGATGAGGTCAGCCGTGAATGTCCAGGGGACAGGACCTGGGGAGGCCTGACCCGCCCCCACCCCACCCCCCGCAGCACATCAACGAGCTGACCATGAAGCTGAGCGTGGAGGACGTGCTGACGCGGGCCGAGGGCCTCTACCGGCAGCTGACCGCCTGCCCCGTGAGTGTGCGACCCTGCCCACGGCCGCCTCAGCCCGCCTCTCCCCCCACGCCCCCTCTGACCTCGTTGCCCGCGCCCCGCCAGGAGCTGCCCCACAACGTCCAGCAGGTCCTGGGCATGGTGCCGCCCGCGGAGCCGCGCAGCCCCTCGCCCCCTGCCTCCCCGCTGCCGCTGTCGCCCACCCGGGCGCCGCCCGCGCCGCCGCCGCCGCCGGCAGACGCAGCCCCGCAGCCCGACAGCAGCCTGGAGATCCTGCCCGAGGACGACGACGACGACGGGGCGGGCTCCTAACCGCGCTGGGCCAGGCCCCAGCCCCGCACAGGCACTTTACCCCGCTGCCCGCCCGCCGCGGAGCCCCGGGAGCGGAGGGACGCGGCTGCCCGCCCGGCCCGGTCCCCGCGCCCTTCTCACGGGCAGGTTCCGGTGAACTGACCGCTCCCGCGTCCGCTGGCCCGCTGCTGGGGGACCCGGCTGGGGCGGGGGTGGTGGTTTGCAGGCCGCTCGGGCCCGTGGGCGGAGCCAAAGCCTTAGCACATGACCCCGGCCTGGCCAATGGGCCGCGAGGGGCGGTCCCCGGCGGGCGCAGGCTCCCTCGCTTTTCCTGGGCGAGCGCGCGATGCTCGGACTGCGGCCTATGCTGGACGCTTCCCGGACGTGACCGCAGTGGAGGGCCCTGCCTACAGCTGTTGCTTATGTAACAAATAAAGTTGCCGCTGTTTAACCACCGCCGGCCTCGTGACAGCCGGGGACGGTCACCGCGATGGCCCCTTAGGCCGCGGGTCCTGCCCCGCCCCGCGCACGTGCCGGCCCACGCAGAAGCCCGACCACAGGCTTTCTCCAAAAATACTTTAATGTGAGGTCCTCTTGCGGGTGGTGTGTGGGGGAGATAACAGGGGCTGGCCTGACGCCGCGGTGGCCCCTCCCTTGGACCCTTTGCACGGGGGGCTGCTGGCCGGGAACACTTGCATGGGCACCTCCGAGCTCGCCTCCGCGCCGGCCTCCCCGCCGGCCTCCGGGAGCTCATTCCCGGCCTGGCCTTCCGAGCCGGCCTCCAGGAGCGTGTGGCCCTGCGCCTCGGGGCCGGCATCCGGGAGCGGCCGGCCCTGCGCTTCCGGGCTGGACTCGGGAGGGGGATGCCCCTGCCCCTCGGGGCCGGCCTCGGTGTGCCCCTGCTCCTGCTCCTCCGGGCTGGCCTCGGCGGCCGGCGCATGGCCCTGCTCCTCCGGGCTGGCCTCGGCCGCCGCGAGCCCCTGCTCCACGGGCCCAGCCGCCGCGTGCGCGCGCTTCTGCTCCTCCGGGTTGGCCACGGCGTGCGCGTGGTGCTCGCGGTTGTTGATCCTCATGGCGGCCCGCAGCGCGGACTTGACCGCCGTCTCCACCCAGCCGTGCGGCAGGGCCGTATGCTCGCCCGCGAAGTAGATGCGGCCATAGGGGATGGCCCAGTCGTACTCGAGCCCGCTGTCCGGGTCGGCCTGCCAGAGCTGCGGCGGCTGCACCACGAAGCCGCCCTGGCTGTGCGGGTCCTCCGCCCAGCGCTTGACCACGCCGCTGCCGTCCCACAGGCGGTACACGAGCGGCCCGTGCAGCGCCGCCACGTCGTCCAGCGCCACGCGCAGCGACTGCTGCAGGCTCAGGCCGGCGAACGGCGCCGTCGCGTCCGACCACGTGTAGGAGGCCAGCAGCAGCGCGCCCTCGCCGGGCGGCGGGTAGTAGATGACGCGCGAGGGCCGGTCGGTGCTCGAGTGGCCGCCCTCGATGTGCTCGTCGTGCCAGAAGGGCCGGCGGAAGCTCAGGAACACTTTGGTGGCCGGCACGTAGTGCAGCCCGCGCAGCGCCTCCTGCCGCTTGCGCGACAGCGGCGGCGAGAAGGTCATGCGCTGCAGCGCCGGGCCGCTGGCCGTCACCAGCACCACGTCGGCCGTCAGCGCCTTGAGGTTGTGCACCCGGCGCGAGGCGGCCATGTGCACCCGCACGTCGTGCGGGCCCTGCGTCATGCCCACGACCGGCGCGTTCAGCAGCACGGGGCCCGACAGCGAGCTGAGCAGCGCGCGCGGCAGCAGGTCCCAGCCGCCCACGATGCGGCTGTACCTGCGGGCGGGCGGAAGGGCGGGCGGGCCGGGGTCAGCGCTGCCCAGAGGCCGTGCGGCCCCAGGACCACCCCACCCACCCACACACACACACACACACGCCGCCTCTCTCCCGCGGCCGCGGCCCCGCGCCCGCTCGGCGGCTGCCAGGACCCCCCACACACACACACCCCGCCTCCCCCGCGTGCTCCCGCCCGCCCGCCGTGCTCCGCGCCCGCTCGGGGGCTGCCAGGACCCCCCCAGACACACACACCCCGCCCCCCCCGCGGCCGCGGCCCCGCCGTGCTCACCGGAGCCGGTCGCTGAGGCAGCTGTGGGCCCGCAAGGCCTCGGCGAAGCTCAGGTAGAAGAAGCCGTCCTTGGACAGCACGTCGCCCAGCAGCCGCACGGCCGGCTGGCTCAGGTTGCCCTCCCCGAGGAGGTATTCCTGCGGGGCGGCCGGGGGCGCGTCAGCACCCTTCTAGGGGCAGGGGAGAGACCCAGGACCCAGAGGAGGGCGGTGCCGGGGCCCGGGGCTGGGTCCTTCCCGGGTGGGCGCCCTCCGCCCGCGTTCCTCCAGCGAGCCGCGGGGCTCGCCCCACTCACCAGCAGCGTGTGCCTCTCAAACTTCTTCATGGCCTTCTTGCAGCCCATGTCTTTGAGATCCTTCACCGCCTGGCAAGGAGCAAGCGGGCGGTGCTGAGCGCGGGGCACTCTGGGGGCGCCCATCCCGGCTCGCCCTGCACCTCTGGCACCACTGTGAGCGCCCTGAGGGCGGGGACCAGAAGCTGGCCCCGTGCAGAGCTTCCCCACCCCCACCCCCGCATCCCTGCATGGCTCCCCAGCCCCTGGCACCACGGGGTTCCAGGAAGCCCGTGGGTCACCTCCCCTGACAGCAGCTGGGTCGGGTGCACAGGCGCCGCCCCCCCACTCCATCTGTGCCTGGCACACGGTGCACCCACCCACACATTCTGCTGAAGTCACACCCCCACTTTCGGGAACCTTGCCCCACCGCACCCCAGCCCTCCTGTCTCCGCCAGCGCCCCTGGGGGCTGCGCGGGGTGTGCAGTTCAGCACCCACGCCCCCTGCGCTTGCTCCACGCTTCCCCAGAAATGGCCTGGACTCGGCCCCGCCCCCGGCCAGGAGAGGAGGTGGCCATGGAAGGGGCTCTCAGAGCTGGGTGTGGCCAGCTCCCACCGTGCGGAGGGGCACGGAGCAGTCCTGGAGGCGTGCGCAGGAAGGGGTAGGGTGCTGGGAGCCACTGCGCCCCCCACGAGGACTTGGAGAGAAAAAAAATGAGGCGGAGGCAGGGGAGCCACGAGACCTTCAGGGCTGGAGCCTGAGCCTGCGCCTTCGTCCTGGAGGCCCTGGGGAGCCGAGGAGGAGGCTGGGCCAAGGGTGGGCAGACAGGACCAGGCCGGGGCTGGGCCGGACAGAGAGAGGGAAACGGGCAGCAGGAGGGAGCGAGCAGGGCGCCCGGCGGCCTCCCTGGGACCAGGGGCTTGGTGCAGCCATTGTAGGTGGGGACCCCGGTGCCAAGGGGAGAGGCCAGGGGCAGCCGGAGGGAGAGGCCGAGGGGAAAGGGGGCTGGGGGCTGCCGGGGGAGAGGGGGCCAGGGCTGCTGAGGGGAGAGGGGGCCAGGGCTGCTGGGGGGGAGAGGCTGAGGGGAGAGGGGGCTGGGGGCTGCCAAGGGAAGAGGGGGCCAGGTCTGCTGAGGGGAGAGGGGCCGGGGCTGCCGGGGGGGGGCTGCCGAGGGGAGAGGGGGCCGGGGCTGCCGGGGGGAGAGGCCGAGGGGAGAGGGGGCCAGGGCTGCCGGGGGGGGGGGCTGCCGAGGGGAGAGGGGGCCGGGGCTGCCGGGGGGGGGCTGCCGAGGGGAGAGGGGGCCGGGGCTGCCGGGGGGAGAGGCCGAGGGGAGAGGGGGCCAGGGCTGCCGGGGGGGGCTGCCGAGGGGAGAGGGGGGCCGGGGCTGCCGGGGGGGGCTGCCGAGGGGAGAGGGGGCCGGGGCTGCCGGGGGGGGCTGCCGAGGGGAGAGAGGGCTGCCGGGGGAGAGGCCGAGGGGAGAGGGGGCTGGGGGGCTGCTGAGGGAGAGGGGGCTGGGGGGGCTGCTGAGGGGAGAGGGGGCCGGGGCTCCGGGCGGGGCGGGCGGCGCCCACCTTGTTGAGGGCCATCTGGTAGATCTCCTCCGGCGCGTGGCCGCGCTCCCGGGGGCGCAGGCTGTAGCCCAGCTTCTCGGGCATCTTCTCCACCACGTAGTTGCGCAGCCGCACCTCGCTCACCTCCGTCCAGGTGTTCTCGTCGTACTGGGTGAACTTGGTCAGGTTGAGCCCCAGGCTCCTACAGAGCTCGTGCAGGATCCTGCGGGCGGCACGGAGAGGCCGGGGGAGGGGCGGCCTGAGGCCTGAGGGACGGGCTCAGCCTGGGGAGTGGCCTTCACCCTTCACCGGGGATGCCGCCGACGCCTGGATTCCCTCTGGGAATGGGGGCAGAGTTCCGGCTGGGTGGGCCGGGGCGAGCGGGGGTCTGGCCCGAGTTCACAGGAGGCTCTAGGGGCTGTTGATGTCAGGGCGGCCGTGAGGCTGGGATCAGGTGAGGACGGGGCCGGAGGTTGGATCTGGAACCAACTTGCATGGTGGCTGGGGGTGGCGGGGCGGGGGCGGTGCTGGAGCTGGGGTTGGGGCGGAGGAGTCTGGGCAGAGGGGGGCTGGGGGGGCCAGGCCAGGCCTCACCTGTGAGAGCTGGGCATGCGCATGGCTCCCAGCTCCCCGATCCAGCCCGTCTTCCGGTCCCGGAAGGTGAAGATGCGGCCCCCGATCCTGTTATCTGCCTCCAGGATGGTGACCTGAGCGGGTGGGCGGGCGGCCGGCCTGGGCCTTCAGCGGCTCCCACAGACGGCCACACGCCTCCCCCACGCCCATAGCAGCACAGGACTGGAGTCCCAGGAAGCGGGGTGAGGGGGGGAGTCCCCAGCCAGCCGGCTCTGGGAAGGGGTGGGGACGCTTCCCGCGCAGAGAAGCCCGGGGCGGCCGGTTCTCGGTCCTGGAGCTCCGTGTCCACCTGCTCCCCAGCCGACATCCAGGGTGACTCAGAGCGGGGCTTCCCTCGGGGGCTGGAGAGTCAGGGGCTTTCGGGGGTGGTTCCCTCCCTCCACCCCCCACCCAGCCCGGGCAAGGGGTCGGCCGCGTCCTCACCTTGTGTCCCGCATCGCTGAGCACCTTGGCGGCCACCAGGCCGGCCACGCCCGCGCCGACCACAATCACCTTTTGGGGCTTCAGCGTCCGGTTGAGGCCCAAGGTCACCACTCTGAGCAGCTGCTCATAGTCGGGGTCGTGCATGCACTTGGCGAAGGGGTCTGGGTTGGGGGCGGCCTTCCAGTCCAAGGAGGCCGCCAGGCTGAGGAGGGTGGGGAAGAGGACGAGGAGGCGCAGGGCTGCGGAACAGGAGGCGGGGGTCAGCGGGCGCGGACGGGCGCACGGCCTCACCTGGCCCGGGCCCCCCGCCCCTGCCACCCTGCTAACTTACCCAGTGGGGCCATGGCTGGCGGGTAAGGGATGTGTCTGGGTGCCGCTGGGACCGGGGGCCTCCGTGCCTCCGTGGGCTGCCCCGTGACCCCTGCCGCCTGACCTGCGTCTGCCCAGCCTTCAGACGGGGAGTGCCTGGGTCCCACTGCCCCCGCGCCTGCCCGGCCTGGCCCCTGCCGCCGGCCATCCCTCTGTGCCTCTGCGCCGTGCTCTGCACACACTCGCCGGCCGCTCTCCTGCGCAGTCTGCCCCGGGCCCTTCTGCGCCCCTTAAACGTGCGGGGAGCCCCGCCCTCCCTCTGGGAAGCGGGCTGTGGGGAAATGAAACTCTGCCTTCTTGGAGTTGAAGGTCAGGGGCTCAGGGGGCGGCGGTGGGGGGGGGCGCTCTGTTTTCTTCCTCTTGCCCCAAATAGTTTCGGGGGCAGTCGGGAGGGTGGAAATAAACGCTCAGGTGACCATGCCGAGGGCGGGGGCTGCCCGTCTCTGGCCTTGAAGCGCAGTCCCTGGGTCACATGGACTTCCTCCTGTGTCAGCACTGCCACACACTGCAGGCCCCTGGCTGCTCCAATCCCTTTCTACATCTCACCGAGCCTCAGTCTCCCCCTCTGAGAAATGGGCGCAGCAGTGGGGCCACAGTGCCTAGGCTTGCGTGCTGAGCCCAGCACGTGCCGGCTGGGGCCTCAGGGCCGTGCCTTGCCCTGTGTGTGGCTGTCAGAGGAGGCCGTGACGGCAGGGTAGGATTGTGTGATACGGGTGAAGTCCCGCCCACAGCCCGGGGTCTGCACCCGAACCTGCTCCCTGGGAAATGCTGGGGGGCTGGGGGTGGCCCTGGCAGGAGGGTATGCCAGGGCATGCGCCGGCCTCTCCCTCCCGATGTGCCCGGGGCGCGCGCCGGCCTCTCCCTCCCGATGTGCCCGGGGCGCGCGCCGGCCTCTCCCTCCGCCCTGGCCTTGGGAACCACTGAGGTGGCCCTCGGCTCAGGGACTGGCCCAAGGGAGTCTCCGCCACCCCACCCCGCCCCAGGGTGCTTGTCCCTGAGGGGCAGGTGGCAGTGAGAACCTGATGGCCTGGCTCCAAGGAGTCCACAGGCCACAGGGTCTCCCCGGGCCCTCAGCGCGCAGGGCGGAGGAGCAGGAGCGAGTATGTCCCCGGGCTGGGGAGCGGGTGAATTTTCTATGGGAACAGGGGGAGGGGGCACCACCAATGACCTGGGTGGGAAACTCCAGCAGTCAAAGTGGGATGTGGTTTGGGGGGCGGGGTCTGAGCGGGAGAACGTGTGAGGCAGGCCAGGAGCCAGTGGCCGGGAAGGACAAAGTCGGAGCTGGACACAGCGGCAGAGGCTCAGGACGGCCCAGGGGCCGGGACCCTCGCGAGGCCCAGCTGGGGCAGATGAAGGAACCGAGGCGGGGAGGACAGGACGCGTCCTGGGCCGCAGCACCAGGGGGCCCTCCCCAGCTCCCCGTTCCCTCTGCTCCCGGCTCAGGCTCGTGCCAGCGCCCACTCCTGCCAAAGGCAGAGGGCTCCCAGGTTCCCGGGGGCTGCTGGGCCCGAGGTGGCCCCCGTGTCTCTCCCACAGCTCGCCGAGCCCATGCCAGCTTCACCCCGCAGCCATGGGTGACCCCGTGAGGGGCAGTGTGGCCTGAGGGGCGGGCTCTCACAGGGCAGAGTCCAATCAGGGCCCTCCTGTGGATAGACTGACAGCAGATCCCTTGTCCATCTCCCTCCCTTCACTGCAGTAACCACCGCACAGGGCCCAGAGACGTCTCCGGTGCCCAGAGGCCGGCCTGTGCGGCCAGCCCAGCTTCTGCTGGTGCCCAGAACCACTGTCACCACAGCTCGGGCTTGGGGATTCAGGGTGGGGCCGGGTGACACTGCGTGCACTCCAGGGAGCACCCGCTGTGCCAGGACAGAGCAGGTCAGACATCTGGAAGGCAGAACCGGAGAGTCCTAGGGGCCAGGAGATTCTGGGTTTCGGGGGATTGCCTTTCTCCTCTGGGGCTTTTTGTAGGCAGTATGTTCTGCTCCTGCAGCCCAGGGAGATTCCCACTGCTCTTAGTGTGAAGCAAGGCGCCCCACAGCCCGGGCGGCAGGGAGCGAGGTGGAGCCCTGCTGGCAGACCAGCGGCGGGACCTGGCCGATTGTTCCTGATAACCCCGAGACTCGTGTCTAGAACGGGGCAGGGGCGGGCGGCGTGCAGACCAGGGCGGATGGTTGAGGAGAAAGCGGGTAGGACCGGGGTCGGGGCCCACGCGTGGTGCTGCACAGGGGACAGGGTGAGAGGCAGGAGCAGAGGTGACACGAGTGACCCCAAGTGTGTCTGCTTCAGTTGCCTTTGGGGTATTCTGGTTCTTCGTAGTTTCTAGAAGGTCAATCCCTCCAGGTAGAAATGGCCGACACTGGGCAACAATCCTGCCCAGTGACCCAATGGCCGCGTTCCCAGCAGCCAGAGGCCTGTCCCGGCCCGACTGCGAGCCCCTGGGCCCACCAGAGGCCACACGGTCACGCTGGGGTCAGGGCTGCTCCTTCCACAGAGGCGTTCTTCTGAGTGTCCAGAGACCCTGGGCGGTCAGTAGTAAGACTAGAGCCTCAGACGGGGACAGCGGCTGCCCAGGAACCCCGGGCAGAGGGGAGGACAGCTGTAAGAGGCCCCTCGATCCTCGGTCGGGACCCAGGACCAGCGCCCCTCCCCACAGAGCCCCCTGCCCTTCCTCCCATTTCCACAACAGGCCAGGGCCCCGGCGGGGGGGCACTCACTGCATAGCTGCCTCTGGGGGGCTCTCTCAGCACCCATGGCCTTTCTGGTTAGCCTGGGACAGAAGTCATCCTGAGGTCTATGCAGAAGTGGGGTGAAAGGTGGTGGCTGTGTCCTGCTGCCCTTGTTAGGCCAGAGATGCCAGGTCCTGGGGTGGGGCAGAGAGGTTAGGAGGCTGGGGGGTTAGGCCCGCCTCTTCCCAAAGTGCTCTATCACCGGCAAAAATGGGGGCGCGGTGGCTGCACCCTCACTGCCGCAGCACGCACTCCCAGGACGGGGTCACTTTAAAGCCAAGCCCAGACACTCAGCACTGGGACGTGGCTGTCAGATCAGACGCGGGTGGGATGAATCGGCTGGGGGAACACGGGGCTCTGCAGGCTGCTGGGCCCGCCCCTGCCCTCCGTGCAGCCACACACACGATGTGCACTGCGGGGCGGCTGGGTCCCTGCGGAAGCTAATTCACACAGCCAGGGAGCTGGTGCGGGGGCACGGCAGGTTAAGCCTCCGCCTGCATCACCAGCAACCCGTAAGAGCGCCGGTTGGCGTCCCGGTTGCTCCACTTCCGACCCAGCTCCCTGCTAATAGGGCTGGGAAAACAGCGGAAGGCGATTCAAGTGCATGGGCCCCAGCCACCCACCTGGGAGACCCGGCAGACGCAAGCTCTCACTCTGCCGTTCAAGTAGACATACGGAAACGGGGCTGGAGATGGCAAAAACGACTCTCACCTACTCCACGAGGCAAGGCCTTGCTTTAAAAAACCAACCATAGCGCCACCATCACATTTGACAATGGCAGCGATTCCCTACGAGAAGTCAGCATTCACACTTCTGGTTGTCTTAGGGTTTTCACAGCTGGTTTGTGAGGATGGATTCACTGGCACTCAGTGACTGAGCGCCTGTCGCTGTCGCTCGTGGGTCTGCGACCTTGGATGGGGGCGTGGCTAAGGTGACCTCGGGCTCCTGCCATGGGAAATCGTGGTGCTCCTGGCCACAGCTGGGTGCTGCATCGAGGCGGCCAGTGGCCAGTGTGTGGTGCCGGAGGACAGGCTCGGGGGACGGCCGGGGACCCAGAGGCAGGCCTGGCTCCCGCAGGGGGTGGTCGCCTCCCTGGAGGGCTGCTGTTCTGCTACAGGCAGACTGTGGAAGCACCGACATTTTGGGGGCCCCCTTAAAACCGGGGAGCAGTGGGGTGCCGGAGCGCGGCTCACACCGACCCACAGGAGCTGACTTCAACCTTCGGCTTCTTAGGTTTCGCTTGTTAAGTCATTCATCATTTTACAGAAATCACACTTCATCAAAAAAGCCAAATACCAAAACCTCAGGGCTGCTCGCTTCCCAGGGACCCGACCGGACTTCACACTGTTGCGCAAGCTCTTCAGATGGACGTGTCACTGTCTGTGCATGCACATCTCCGTCTGACTCTGGTCAGTGCCTTCCCACTGGTGGCTCTTGGCACCGGGGACACTGGCCCCTGCTGGGCACCCGTGGGACCTGCACCAGCTTGCCCATCTCGGCTGCCCGTTGCTAGGCAGGCCCAGACCCCTGGGGGTGGGCGCGCACCTGCGATGCCAGCGTCCCAGTGCTGGCAGCTCCCTGCTACTGCACCTGGGTGGCAGCAGATGCTAAGCCAAGTACTTGGGCCCCTGCCACCCACTCTGGAGACCAAATGAAGCTCCTGGCTCTGGCCTGGCCCAGGACAGCCACTGTGGCCATTTGGGGAGTGAACCAGCACCTGGAAGATCCTTGTCTAACTCCACCTTTCCAATGGGGCCCGCATCCCATATGGGCACTGGTTCATGTCCCGGCTGCTCCACTTCTGATCCAGCTCTGCCACAGCCTGGGAAAGCAGTGGAAGAGGAGCCGGGTGTTTGGGCCCCTGCACCCATGTGGGAGACCCACAAGAAACTCCTGGCTCCTGCCTGGCCCAGCCCCGGCCATGAAGGCCATTTGAGGGGTAAGCCGCAAATGAAAGATCTCTGGCTCGCTCTCTCCCTCTGTAACTGCCTTTCAAATAATCTTAAGACAAGACCTGTCACTTTTTCTATGTATGTAAAGGGGCTGGCGCTGTGGCGAGTGAGTTACAGCCCCAGCCTGCAGTGCCAGCATCCCATATGGGCACCAGTTCGAGTTCTGGCTGCTCCACTTCCGATCCAGCTCTCTGCTCTGGCCTGGGAAAGCAGTAGAAGATGGCCCAAGTCCTTGGGCCCCTGAACCCATGTGGGAGACCCAGGATGAAGCTCCTGGCTCCTGATCGGCCCAGCCCGTCATTTTGACCATTTGGGGAGTGAACCAGGAAGGAAGATGTCTCTGTCTGTACCTCTCTCTGTAACTCTTTCAAATAAATAAAACAAATCTTAAAAAAATAAGTAAAAACCCTGACCCTTGTGGTGCCAAGCAGTGCCCGAGGGGGCAGGGGACTCTGGACTCGGGCTTCTTTGGGATTTGAAGAAAGCCACAACCATAACCCAACTCCTGCCCTAAACAGGACGAGGCAGGGCACCGAGAGCGGACCGAGGAGTCACCTTTCCAAGCCTGGTTCCCACTCAGTCACACTGGCTGTCTTCCCGCTAACAGACTGAACAGGAACTCAGGCAGAGGCCAGCTGGCGGGACTGGCAGGGAGCGCAGCTGTGTTCTTCCTGGAAAGGGAAATCGTGATTACAAGGAAGCCGTGGTCTGCAGGCCACTTGGCCCCGCCCCGCCCCGCCCCCAGGCAGTGGCCACCTGCCCTGGCTCCAGGCAACACAGGACCCCTCCCCACAGCCGTCCTCCCAACCTTCTTCCAAGTGGGACACCCAAGATCTCCAGGGTATGGGAAGAAAACGTCAGAACTTCAGGTTTTTATTTTTAAAATACAGGAGGGGCCGGCGCCGTGGTGCAGTGGGCTAATCCTCCGCCTGCGGCGCCGGCACCCCACATGGGTGCCACTTCTAGTCCCAGTTGCTCCACTTCTGATCCAGCTCTCTGCTGTGGCCTGGGAGAGCAGGCCTTGGGCCCTGCACCTGTGTAGGAGACCGGCAGAGAGCACCTGGCTCCTGGCTTTGGATCGGCGCAGTTCTGGCCATTTGGAGTGAACTGGTGGAGGGAAGACCTTTCTCTCTGTCCCTCTCACTGTCTGTGGCTCTATTTCTCAAATAAAATAAATAAAATCTTTAAAAATAAAATAAAGGAAAGCAACTGAGTTTTACTCATGTTTAATATGTGAAACGGGAGTATATACACACGCACACCAGGGAAGCACGCTTGGGATGGCGTCGTGGCACAGGTGCCAGCCGCTGCCCGTGCCGCCGGCATCCGGTACCCATGGCACTGCTCTCTGCTCAGTGGGAAGGCAGCTGGGGTGGCAGCAGATGGTGGCCCAAGTGTTGGGGTCCCTGCCACCCAGGTGGGGGGGGGAACCTCTCCCTCTGTCACTCTTTCAAATGCATATATTTTTTAAATGCCCATTTTTTTCCCCCTAGGAAGATTGTGTGGCCTTTGACAGGGACAATCTGAGCTCGCGGGCTCAGTAACATTGCTCCACGGATGTCGAATGAAAAAACGCAGGCAGGAAACAGACCACTTTTCTAGGGCAGGAGCGCGGGCCCTCCCCGTGGTCAAGGCCGGGAGAGGGCAGCAGCGCTCACGGAGGCTGGCGGGGTCTTCCTCCTCCCTGTTCTGTGGCTGCTGCCTGCAAAGTTGTGTTGGCCTTCAAGGCCCCAGATGGTTCAACGTAAACAATGACTTGTGATCTTGACCTTGGGAAGCTTCTAGAAAATGGGCCACAGGGCTCCGAGGTGTGAGCCATGGAGCGGGTGAGGCCAAGGGGCCGGGACCCCCGTCCCCAGGAGGAGGGAGAGCTCCCAGCAGCTGGCCGGGCCGCACCTGGGAGTCGCCTCTCCGCCCGAGCCCTCCAGCTAGCCCCAGCGGAGGAACGGAGGCTGCTCCACCGGGGCGAGGGCAGGCAGTGCGGTGCCAGCGCCCGCGTCACCCACAGGTCAGCACAGACCCAAGACTGTTCGCGCCTGTCGGCCGGAGGGCGCCAGCACGGTGGCTTCTGGGAGCTGCTCGCTCTCGACCGCCTCACCCTGACGTTACACAGGCACGGCAGCTGTTCATGTTTTTATTCAGGAAGGCGACACACAGCGTGGCTATCGTAGAGAATGCAAAGCACACACACAGGACACTGGGCGGCGACACGGGGACCTTGGCGGGGCTCAGGGCCCCTGCGTGGCCACCGCGGCCACCGCAGCAGGCAACACGGTGGACCAGCGCTACGCCAGGTTTCATCTTCGTCCTTTGCTCATTCAGCAAAGCTGACTGGGACTGTGCTGGGGACAAAGGGGGACAGAGTCAGTCCCTGCCCCCGGGAGCTCAGTCTACCAGTGAGACGGGGGCCAACAGTCGGCACAAGACGCACAGCCAGTCCTCCCTGGCACAGGCTCAGTGTGCCATGGGGCCGGCCGGGGCGGCGCCCTGGAAGAGGGGAGGCCCGAGGGCCCACCTGGACGGGGAGCGGGCACAGGGAAGCCCCCCGGGCTTGGGCCTCGCCTCAGCTGAGCAGCCCCTCCTTGCGGGGAGCAGTGTGTCTGGGCGGAGCGCACGGCTTAAACCCCACACGGGGCAGAGGGCAGCCTGCCCACCTCAGCACTTCCACTGTGCTGGGCAGAGCGGCCGGCGGCAGCCTCTCCTCTCCGGCCTCAGCGCCTCTGTCGGGGGAGGGCGAGGTGGGTGGCAGTGGGTGAAAGGGGCCAAAGACACAGGACTCAGACACAGAGCCGCCCACCGGCTGCTGCCCGCCCGCCCAGCGGCGCTCGGGACACTTTCTACGCATTCGCTGGCGGGCAAAGTCAAACCACAGAACACTTCTCTCCACAGCACAATCGCTTCAGAGAATCGGCCCCCCCGGCCACCAGGGAGCGCCGCGGCCCCGGCCCGGCCGTCAGTCGAAGGTGATGCGGAAGCTGCGCTCCTGCTCCTTGCGCCGCCCCTCGCACACCTTGGTCACCTCCTCCACCTTCCGCTGCAGCAGCGCCGAGTTCTGGTCGATCCACTGCAGCGAGTCCATGTGCGCGTTGAGGATCTTGCAGATCTGCTGCAGGGGGTCGCTGGTGTCGGCGGGGCCCCCGGACGTGTTCAGGTGCTCGATGATGTCCTTGAGGTCCTGGGCCATGCGCTTGAGCTGCGCGTCGATGTTCTCGGCCAGCTTGTAGGTCTTCTCGCGCTCCTCGTCGGCGTGCTGCAGGCACACGGCCCCGCTCTGCTCCTTCACCCAGCCCTCCAGCGGGCTCAGCAGGTCCTCCAGCTCCTTCTGCTGCGACAGGATGAAGTCGAGCTCCTGGTCCAGCCGCTTCTGGTCCAGCTTCACCTTCTCCACCTGGCGGTGCAGGCTGGTGATGCGCTCGCCGTTCTCGACGAGCGTGCGGTCCCAGGCGTTCACCTGGGTGGCCTGCTGCAGGAAGTGCCGCTCCTGGTCCTCCAGCTCCAGGCTCCACTTGTTGATGAGGCTCTCCAGCTGCGCGTAGGTCATCGCGGGGCTGCCGGCCGCCCCGGTGGCTGCGCTGGGGGCCGCTGGAGCACTCGCGGCGGCCGTCGTGTTGCTGGGGACCCCGGCCGGCGCCAGAGGTTTTAGATTCAAGGCGAAGCTGGTGGTGGTGGTGGTGGTGGTGGTGGCAGCAGCGGACGTCACCGTGGAGGTGCCGGCAGCTGCTCCAGGGGCCTTCAAGGTGAAGCCCAGCGTCCCAGGCGCGGGCGCCGCGGCGGTGGTCGCTGGGGCACCGAGGGAGAGCCCCGTGCCGGTGGATGAGGTGGGAGCCGCGGCTATGGAGGCAAAGAGGGTGGGCCCAGCGTTGGAGGTGGCGGCGGGCGTGGGCGCGGCCGGCTGGCTGGGCCCTGCCCCCGTGGCCGCTGGCGTGGCTGCGGTGAAGGGAGACCCGGTCAGCGCCGTGGGCTGGGTGGCCGAACTCCCCACGGAGCCGATGTTGAAGCCAGACGTCCCCGTCTGCGAGGAGCTTCCCCCGGTGAAGGAGAACCCTCCGGATGTGGTGGCGGGGGCCGCAGGCGTGGTGGTAGAGCCGAACACAAAGCCGGTGGGAGCTGTGCCCTGGCTGGAGGTGACGGTGCCCGACGTGGCACTGGTGAGGGTGCTGCTGCCGAGCCCAAAGCCACTGGGGTTTGCTGTGGCTGAGGTGGCCGCCGTGCTGCCCAAGTTCAGCTTCGGGGCGTTGAGACCTAGGGAGAAGCCGGTGCCTCCGGAAGCGGGAGTCGTGGTGCCAAAACTGAACGCCGGGGTCTGGGCTGCTGGCGCTTGGGTCGTGAGAGAGAACAGCCCGGTGGAAGGGGTGCTCGCGGCCGCAGGGGAGGGAGTCCCAAAATTAAACCCGCCAGAGCTAGACGTAGAGAAAGAGAACCCCGTCGCCGGCGTGGTGCTGGTTGCTGTCTTTGCGGTACCAAAGGTGAACCCGCCTGTGGGGGCCCCAGTGCCTCCAAAATTAAACCCGCTCATGGCTCCAGCTCTGGTCGGCAGCAGCTGCTCCGGCTCCCACAGCCAACCTGATGAAATCTGCAAACTGGGAAGATTTTTAAAGCAGAGGAAGGGACATGATCAGACGGCAGTCTCGGCCAGCAAGGTGGGAACACAGCAGCCCCTCCCCCTGTTCTGCGTAACCTACACCGGCCTCGCGCCCGCGGACGCAGTGGAGCTGTTCCCAGGGAGCAGGACCAGACGACGCTGTGCCAGCGCTCCCCGGAGGTGCCAGCGGCTGGCCCTGACAACTGGGAAGCATGGTCTGATCCGCTCGGGCCGCTCTGGGTGCTGTTCTGGGCTTCACAAAGACAGACGTGGGCCCAGAAACCGGGGCGTGGCTGCCGAGGGCCCAATGCAGGCCCGCGCCTCACCGCTCAGCAGGAGGGATGCACCACAGTGCCTGGCGCCAGGCTGAATCAAGGCCGGGGTCAGCCGCTCAGCGCCCTCCCTTCCCTGGAGCAGGAGACGGTGGGCACCGGTGGGCAAGGCAAGACGCAGGTGAGAGGACAACGGCACCCAGAGGCGCCAGGAGCCAGCACACCCCCGCTTGCTTTAAGCTGACAGCACTGAGGAAGGGGCGTGTGCGGGGGCGGGACAGGGCTATTTCCGCACAAACGGTCACACTTGGGACGTGGGTGATGAGGGGCCCAGGAGAGCTCACTCACAACTGCCCCAAGGCGGGATTCCTAAGCCCCTCACCCGGCATGGAGACGGACCACGGGCACCCCCGCGTCCAGCCGCGGGAGACAGGCCGGGCAGAGGCAGCTTCCAGTGCGCAGCTCACGTCGGAGACGGACGAGCGCCCCACCTCCACTGCACCTGCTGCCTTCCGCACAGACTGACTTTTGGGAGATGGAGAATTCTGCGGGCTCACTTCCCAAATGCCTGCAAAGGCCAGAACTGGGCCAGGTCAAAGCTGGGAGCCAGGAAGCAGGTCTCCCCTGTGGGGGGCAGGGACCCAACTACTCGGGTCATCACCAACATCCCCCAGGTCTGCACTGGCAGAAGCCAGTCAGGAGCAGAGCTGGGGAACACCCAGGGCCTGCATATGAGGCGCAACCATCTTAACGGCTTCCTACCCGCCCCTTCCCCCACCCATACTCCTGCGGCAATGACACCAGGGTCCCTAGTGCTGGACCTGCCTAGTCTAAGCTAGAGGACCGCAACTAGCTGCCCAGCGGCAACACCCGAGAGCACGTGGTCAAGACAGCCGCGCCCCCGCGGAGCCCGTGTCTCATTTCCAGCTCTGGCTCTGGCTCTGGTTCCTGGCCGACCAGACTCCAGGAGGCAGGGATGGCTCCAATCACTGGGCTGCCGCCACGCACCTGGGAGAATGGACTGGGCTCCCAGCTCCGGCCCTGGCCCCAGCGTTACAGATCGGGGGCATGAACCAGCAGATGGGAGTGCACACACTTGCTCTGCCTGCCAAAGAAGAAGATCCCCCTGTGGCGGGATCCTGGCCGTGACATTCTCACCAGGGTTTTCTGGGGGTTCCTGAGAAAGGTCCTCAGAGGCCGCAGCAGGTGTCTGGGCCCCAGCTACCTCCTGCGTGACAGGACCACCTCCTCCCTGTGCAGCGTCTCAGGCAGGGGCTGCCACAACCAGTAGCTAAAAACATCCAAACAGCTACACCTACACGTCTGTTCTCAAGAACTCAGCTCCAGAGAGCACTTGCTATTAATAAGTTACAGCTAAAATCCCCCAAGGGCACTTATAAAAAGCTCTTTGTGGGGCTGGCGCTGTGGCATAGTGGTTAAAGCCACTGCCTGCAGTGCTGGCATCCCATATGGGCACCTGGTCGTGGCCCGGCTGCTCCACTTCCTACCCAGCTCTCTGGTGTGGCCTGGAAAAGCAGGAGCAGATGCCCCAAGTCTTTGAGACCCTGCACCGGCGTGGGAGACCTGGAAGCTCCTGGCTTCGGATCGGCGCAGCTCTGGCCGTTGGGGAGTGAACCAGTGGATCAAAGACCTCCCTTTCTCTCTGCTTCTGCCACTCTGCCCTTCAAATAAACAAATAAATGACCTGCACTGTTTCTCGCCCCTGACCTTGGTACCCAGGGCCCTAGTGGGCATTTCGGCACTGAACCAAGGAACGGGAGCTCTGCCTTTCAAAATGCGACAGCCTCGTCGGTTCCTGCCACCCAGGGCTCCGTGCCTAAGGGCACACGTGTGGACCCAGCCCTGCTCTACACCATCACGAGCTCCTCCTCACCCCTATAAACAAGTTTTGGGGCAGGTACAATGGGCAGCAGGTTCAGTCAGGGCAAACAGGGAGGGCAAGGGCCTGGGAGTGGGCAGAGGCGGAAGCAGAAGGCAAATCGGGGGCCCAGGGCCTTGGGGGCTGGAGACAGTGGGTGCAGTAAAGGGTTGGGGGGCTGGAGACAGTGGGTGCAGTAAAGGGTTGGGGGGCTGGAGACAGTGGGTGCAGTAAAGGGTTGAGGGGCTGGAGACAGTGGGTGCAGAAAAGGGTTGGGGGCTGGAGACAGTGGACGCAGTAAAGGGTCAGCCCAGGAGGCCTGGAGAGGCCAAGCCCTGCACATCCCAAAAAGAGGAGCAGCCTCCGCAATGTTCTGCCCGAGGGTCAGTGCTGACAATGCTTAGCCACACAGGCCACCACACCTACTGGACTGACAGTGAAAACCTAAGGCTTCGGGGCGCTTCTCTGGCCGGTGTTCCCACGTCACGCTGTGGCGAAGGTGACACACAATAGGGACTCCACTCTGAATTCTGAACTCCACTCCTAGGCCGGTGATATGCAACAGGATCCTCCCCAGTGGCGCTGGCCAGCAGTGACCAGCAGGGCAAACAACCAGAGGCGCACACACGGCTTCTAGGAGCTGGGAAGACAGGACACACGCTCCCCAGCTCTAAAGGAGCCAGCCCTACGGACGCACTTTAGACTTCCAGAAGCGTAGAATACACACTGCTTTCAGCCACCCAGCCTGCTAGCCACAGCAGCTGCGCCAACCTGACGGCAAGGAGGCGGCAGCAGAAAGCACAGAGTTGGACGGGAAAATGCACCTGCCCGTTGGGGCTGGAAGGGGATGGAGCCACAGGTCAGCTGCGGAAGGAAGCGTGAGGTGCGATGCTGCAGCCCGGGCATCCCCACTGCTGGGGTGACTGCCAGGGACACTGGGAGACGGAGGACGTGGAAGGTGTCAGCTCCCCGGTCTCGCTCCCTGCTGTGTCCTCAGCACCCAGCACTCGATAAATAGCCAGGGTCAGGGTCAGCCTGACTGGATGAGGACACTACCTGCCGTTACCCAGTGCCACCGGCAGGCCCAGCTCTGTGCCAGGAGCACTAGGCCACGGCACACGGAATGAGCAACAGGCCACAGCTGTCACGGGGCCAGCCAACGGCCCCAGCACGGGATCCACGTCCTCCGGCACCTACACTGACCACCGACCACCAGCCGGGGGGCAGGGATGCTCCACTGAGCACGTCAGGGTTAGGTCTTGGGGGTTCCCAAGCAGATGTGCGGCTGAGGGAGCCCCAGATGGCAGGGGGAGGGGTGGAGCCGGGGCAGAGGCCTGACGCCGGGCTGCCTTTACCTCTCCCCTCTGCGGCCTGCATGACCCTTCAGCTCTGACCCACATCTGCCGCCGACACTCGCTAACAAGCTCTGTGCCCTCGGGTGGCAGGGAGCCCAGCAAAGCTCACTCCCCAGGACTCCATGACGGTGGGTGCTGAATCCGTGTGCCCTGAGGGGCTGCGGGGGCCGTGAACACTGTGGGCACGCGCTGACTTAGCAGCAGGCCTGTGGCCTTTTCTGCTAGTCTCCTGGCCCAGCACAGCTCAAGGTGGGGAGCAGGCTCTGCCCCTCCACTCCCAGCCTTGGGCTCACTGGCTCTAAGCTCACCCCCTGTGCCTTGGTTTCCCCATCTGCAGGGTGATGAACTTAGCTGATGAGGGTCAGGCTCCTGCCATTCAGCTGACGGCCACCTGGTGGTGCTGCAACCACACTGAGCCCAGAGGACACCAGGAAGCACAGGGCCAAGAGCTCTCTGCAGAACCTCCTCTCCCCCACTGCCCCCACCTCCCCCACGGGAAGTCGCTGCTTAGCAATGGAGTGAAGAGGGCCGTGGGACCAGACACCAGAGAAGGGCAGCAAAGGAGATGAGAGCGCAGGTGGGGATTGAGAGCCTTGTGAGGCTGATCCAGGGTTGAGGCTCCAACATCTTCCCCCACCCCCGGGTGTCTGGCCCACACCTTGGCTGTGTCAGGGCAGGCACTCCCTGTCCGCGTCCTGTCCACGTCCTGTCCCCTGCCCACCTGGGCATCTTCACTGGCCTTTGCCACCAGCACAGTAAACCCTGTATGTCAAACAGCTGCTCCCTACAAACCCAGCTGTTCTTAAACATCCTGTGCAAGCGCCGGTTCGAGGCCCAGCTGCTCCGTTTGATCCAGCTCCCTGCTAATGCACCGGAGAACGCAGTGGAGGATGGCCCAAGTGTTTGGGCCCCTGCTACCTGTGTGGGAGTCTTGGATGGAGTTCCAGGTTCCTGGCTTTGGCCTGACCCAGCCCTACGGGGAGTGAACCAGCGAATGGAAGATCTCTCTTCTTGTAACTCTGCCTTTCAAATAAATAAATATTTTTCTTTAAGATTTATTTGGAACTCAGAAGTACACAGAGAGAGCAGAGACAGAGACAGAGAGAGAGGTCTTCCATCCGATGGTTCATTCCCCAACTGGCCACAATGCCCAGAGCTATGCCGATCTGAAGCCAGGAGCCAGGATTTTCTTCTAGGTCTCCCACGTGGGTGCAGGGTCCCAAGGACTTGGGCCATCTTCCACTGCATTTCAGGCCACAGCAGAGAGCTGGATCGGAAGTGGAGCAGCTGGGACTCAAACTGGTGCCCACATGGGATGCTGGAGGCAGCAGCTTTTTGCAACAAGACAGTGCTGGTCCCATAAATAAATCTTCAAAAAAGGGGAGGGCAGGGGAGGGGAGGGAGAGGAAGCACTGTGGCCTAGCGGGCAGCCACCACCTGCACTGTCTGCAGGTTCGAGTCCCAGCTGCTCCACTTCTGATCCAGCTCTCTG